GGCTGAGTATCTTAAAAACAGACCTAGACAGTTAACAGTGATTCCTGAATTAAATTTCCAAACAAAACTGTGATATAATGGTTGTTAAAATCAGATTAATAACCTAAACCTAAAAGAGATACTAAAAAACTGGCATATCTGATACTGACTGAATTGCATATATATATATTACTTTTTAAATGAATGAATAAATGAATGAAAAAAAATCCTACTGATTAATATCAAAGATAATTATTATTATTAATAATACAATCTTTATTTGAAAAATGGAGCTGAATAATGAGGTAGACTAGGAGCCTGTACAACAGCATAATAAATAAATTTAGAGTAGATCATGCAATTTTATATATTGCTTTTATGTAATGACATCATAGGGTAAAGCAATATTATATAATCTAGATTTTGATTGCATAATTACTATTCCTGCTTTTCATAGCGCACCAATACTGTGCTATTATAAACAAGGCTCCTCTTAAAACCTGATGAATGTGAAATTGATGTGATCACAACACACAAATCTATTAGAAAGAGCCAAGTACATTATTACATAATAGATTCTCATAATGAATAAAGCTGCTTCCGTAATCACGTCCATCTCATCAAAACAACACAAAGCCTCTAGGAGCCTACTGTCATAAAGATAACACTGGAACATGCACCCTCCCCACTCAAATCAACAATCACAATCATCCCAACACATCAATTTGTCTCGTTTTGCTGTTTTCAAATTTTTGGACAATTAGTACATCTTGCATTAGCTACAGCTTGTTCATCTTTGGAAAAACATCTGTAGAATTTACTGGAGTGGTGTTACAATTAAGTCACTAAATTTTTATCCAAATTATTTTAACTAAATTGTAATCCTCTATCTTACATCTATGAGTTTCTCTTATAGTAGTTAATATTGTAACATAATAAACATCAACATACAGGACATAAAGGATCTAGATTTAAACTTAGATATGCAAAAATCAAGATTAGTCTTTTTCAAAATAACAAACTGAAGAGCCATCCTTAGTCAGCAACATTCTCGCTTCATGTAATAATCTGTCAAGGGATGATACGGACCAGTAACTACTGTATCTAGTTTGAAGAGAGAATATATACAAGAGTTATTATGAGTGCCAATCTTTGGAGGTAAACTATTCCAAAAAAATCACCTAATAACATAACACGCTGCAATACGTGTTCAACACAGATAGATTTTTTTTTTAATTTGCAAATTTTGTTTCCCAATTTCAATTTTGTTTTTGTTTTGCTTTACAGTTAAGGTCTCACTACATTCACTATAGTTGCATAAAGTTTTAATTGTTTTATTGGCGAGCATGGGAGGGTTCAACCGAGAAGCCAGATTACATTGAGGATTTCTACAACCGGATTAACCATAGATTTAAGAACCTTATTTAGTCACAAGAAGTGAAAATAATCAATAAGCCTGTCTGTAGAGTTGGTATAAAAGCGCCTTTGCTCAGTGTAGACAACACAGCCTTGTGGAGAACCACAAAGAGAGATCCTACACCACTGAATCCTTCCTTTTGTTCACTCCAAACAACAACAAAACAAACAGGTAAGATCTAGTGTTTTCTGTAGGCCCTTAGGGCTATGAGGTTAACTAAACTGCAGTTCAAACTGCAATGAAAAAATTATCTTATTAGCACCCGTGTTTCCTTCTCAGTTGCTCAGAATGGAATACTACAAGTTTGCCCTGCTGGTGGTTTTCCTGTCCTACATTGAGCGCTGCTGGTCTTCTTCCTGCGTTGTAGACAGCTTTACAGTCAAGGACAACTTTGACCCCAAGAGAGTATGTAGTATGCAGATTAATGATTTCAGAGAGGATAAAAGTTTGCACATTTGCAATCTTAATATAAAACAGACAGGCTGACCTAACCTGGTGTGTTGTATCTGGTAGTATGCAGGCAAATGGTACGCTCAGCAGAAGAAAGACCCAGAGGGACTCTTCCTCCAGGACAACATCTCTGCCGAATACACCATTGATGATGATGGCACCATGACTGCCTCTTCCAAGGGCCGCGTAACTCTTTTCGGGTCAGTGATGAGTCTGAAAGTATGATTGTAACAATGAAGCATTCAATGACATCTGATTCAGAAAGCTTAATAAGCTTAAATAAGATTGCGATAACTTCACATGCTAATGCCAATTCTGCAAATTCACGCTAACAGAGAATCTTCTCTGAACTTTGGAGATTCTCTCGAAGTTATGAACAAAATATTCTTTCAGTAACATTAATAGAATGTTCCTTCAAAGTTATCTGGTCTTTAGTAATGTTCTCAAAACGTTAGCACAAAAACATTAGTTATACTTATGGAATGTTTCTTTGTGTTAGATGGTTTAAAGAACATTCAAACATAACATTCAGATAATGTTTGCAAAATAATCAAATGGAATTTAATGTTGTCTTTAGCATACACTTAACCAAGAAAAAGGTTCTCCAAACATT